AAAAACAAAAGCCAGGGAAGTTTGAATTAGAAATCTGCCAGAGGATCTGCCTGGCAGCACTTGGCAGTTGTCGGTTCCTGCTAAAAGTAATTTGGCTCCTCCTGAAAACATGGTATGAACTCTAGGCTGAAAAGTATGTTTACAATTAATATCTTTTCAGGCTAATGGACAGAAGTGGAGCACTGACAGTGCAGGGTGATTAACAGCAGGTAGGACGCTGGATGCTGCACAGGGAGACTGTGGCACACAATGACAGCAGAGAGTGCTGAGCCAGGGCTGGGAGGGGAATGGTCTTTACTGTGCAGCCTGTGGCTTGAATTAAGAATTTGTGATTACCCTCCTGTGTGAGCTGCCTGAGATGTAGAGCAGTTTTGGGGAGAAGGGTAAAAGCAGCTGCGACGACCCCAGGTGATGTACCCTGCCCAGGAAAGGCTCCTGTTTCCGGCGGAGGAGCTGCCTGCCAAATAATTTCAGGATATTCCAACTGAGAGCGCTGCAGAAAAGGAGGAGAAATGTTGTCCAAGGAATTAGTGCAAATCCCAACTGGAAGAGTGAGTTCCATTACTCTGCTGCTGTTCACAGGGATTTTAAAAGTTTTGTAGTACTTATTTGAAAGATCTACCTAGAAGAAGAAGCAAAACCCAAAAACCTCACCTTTGAAAACAGACTGAAGCATTCATTGGAGATGTTTGGTCTAGGATGGTCTAAGTATTTTAAATCTCAGATTTAAACATTACACAAGCCTAATGACCAGAGCCCCACAGGATATTCACTGCCTTTAATGTTAGGCTCAAGGTAAGAGGATGCTTTACTGCTTCCAAATTCTTCCTTTAAGAAGAGATGATACTTTAGATTTGAATCTATGTTAGTTTGCAGTCCTCATGTGTAATAAAACATTGGGAAATAAAAGTAAAATGGAGTTTCTGTGCTTGGAGAGAACTTCTGGTAAACATCGTCTCTAGTGGAATTACATTACCAGTAACAATGAAGAGTTGCCAAAAATACATAAATATATCTATCTCAGGAGGGGAAGCTATTAATGAGATTGTCCTTCTATGAGTAATCCTGTATCCAGACCACCTCCTATGAGATTACCCTTTGAAGAAACAAGCCTACTGAGAAGCCATGCTGTGTTAGAGAGGGAGTTGTGTGAAGCAATTAACCACAGGAACCGCGATGCTGATTGCAAGTAGCTGCTGATCCGGCAAGGGAAACCGATGTACCAAAAGCAAGGGCAGACAGAGGCAAGGCATTAGGGAGTCACACAATGCCGTACCGTGGAACAAACGATGGGGCACACTGTGCCCCCCGTGTGCAAGACGGGGTGTTTCCAAAACCAGCTTGGTTCTAGTTTCCTTAAGATGTGCTCTGCTTTGTTCAAATAGGTCGGTTCTAGTTTTGTGAACTCATGCCTGAGTGAAGACATAAAAGAGGCAGAAATAAGTAAGAAAGCATGGCAGATTAACACTGACACGCTACAGAAAATAAGGACAAATAGAAAAATAAATCACGGTGAGGCAGTGTGTCTTTCAGTGCAGCAGACAATTTCACATCTGACTTCCATTTCAAGGGTACTGGCGTGACTATCCTGTGTTACACAATTTATCCAGTGCGTAACACTTTTCCAGTGCGGAGCTGGCATGAGAACAATGCAAAGCAAGCTGGCAAACTTGGCTCTGTGTTTACTACAAATTGCAGTTTTTCTAAGTTTTCATTCCACTAATAGACTTTCATTCCAGCCAATTTCAAAGCCTAATAGTTCAGCAGGAAGCAAAGCCAGTGCATGTACCTTCCTTTGGGTGGACATGTAAATATGAGCTCTAATTGGAAATTTTAAGACTTACAACAAGAATCATGAAAAAAATAGCTGATTGTCCACCTCAGGGACTCACTGGAGAGCAACCAGATAGATGAGTGTAAGAAGGTAGGGCTCAGGAGGCACAGAAGGGTGGCAAAGTGACGCCGAATGAAGGAAGCCAGCAGCAGTAAGGCAAGGCAGGAGCTGGTGGGGCAGGCACCGAAAGCCGAGTGGGAGAGGAGGGAGGGAAATCCAGTTACAATAAACACCTGAGAATTTGGGAGTTGCTCCAAAGCACAATAAACCAGAATTTTGCTGTTTCAACCACGCAACTTGCCCTTGTGTGAAGAATTGAGAAAAAAAAGAGAGGAAAAAGAAAAAAAGAACATAAATATTGTGAAACTGGGCAAAGGCTTTGGGGAACAACATAAGCACTCAAAACATGCTGTAGTATCTTAGTGTCTATCCAAGCGTATTTACCCTGTTCACTGCAATGGTATTCACAGTCGGAGTTGACGTGTGGGTTTCCCACAGAAGTAGAGGGGAGGTCTGCTTGTCCTCACTATAATTTTTAATTGAATTTATGTTCAGTCAGCATAACATGATTGCTCTAAAGACGGCTTCTGCCTGCTCATAATAAGGCTTAAAACTCAATTAGTAGCTGCAGCATCTAACAATATTTCAGCACTTGCCAGAAGGCTCGGCCAGCATCTGGTTCAGCAGGCGTTTCGTTTTGCAGCGGGGATGGGCTCCCCCAGCTGCCCTCCCCGGCAGCACCGTCCCTGGGGCTCCCTGTGCCATCCCTCCCTGTGCCATCCCTCCCTGTGCCATCCCTCCCTGCACTAAATACTGTATCACAAAGGTGTTAACACAACATCCTTCACACCTTCACTTCGCCATGTTTGTCAATTTCTTGAAGACACACACCTGCTAGGAAAACCGCTGAGATGATAATAAGGCTTTTGATTTATTTACGTGAGGATTTTTTATTTTTTTTATCTAGAAGAAATTAATTGTACCCTAATCAACAATTGTAATAACCAATCAGCCTCATGAAAACCTGTGTGACCATTAGGTGACAAAGCCCTAGATGAAGCCTGTTCTTTTCCTTCCTAAGGTTTTTACGTTTCATTTCTGCCCTCCTGACCCTGATAAACTCTTTTTTGCAGTAAATCCTTAGCACAAAACAAATTGTAGCTCTTCTTCTCTCCTCCCTCCTTTTAAGGTGTGCCTAGTTTTTCTGTTATTTGTATCTTATCGTTTACCCAGAAAATTATCAAGCATTGGTATTTATGTGATGGTGTCAATATTTACCTGAAATACCAATTTTAGTGTCTATGCAGATGATTGACCTTGGTTGTAGCTACTGTGTAACATGATTAAGAGCAGGTAAATAACAAATGTGTCATGTTGTGAATTATTACAGAAAATGGGTAAACATTTGTATTTTGAAGACATCCAGGACAGAATAAAACTTGGAAGATATAAATAAAAATTCTGCCAGCAAGGGAGCACTTAAAATTGTATTGTCTTGCATTTTATATTTGGACACGTAACCTGGGACAATAACTTACTCAAAAAATGCCTCAAACGTAGTTCCAATCATTTTGTCGAAATGATTCAGTCTACTTTATGTACAAATTTTGGAGCATGTGTCCTTGAAACACTTTACATCTCTTTTATTAAACTTCCAGTCATTCCTGTACAGGAATTGTGTGAACAACTTGTCCTTTAGATGTGTTTTCCTTCTGTGTTCCCTTCACAGCTATTTATCTGATCATTGTTTTTGTTTATACTTATATTCTATTTTTAATGAGAACTGTTGGGCAGGGATCACCAAAGGACTTTCTACATACACATAAAGTTTAATGCTGTCCTCTGCCATTAACGTCAAGTGCAATTACTTTCTTTGCGTTGGTATCTTTAGAGGCCTGGAGACTGACATGAGGCAAGCGTAGCACCCCGTCTCCAAGGCCAGGATAAGCTTTTATGTCCCCACCATACCTCACACTGGGTAAAGGTGTCTGATTCTGCCACCAGTTTGCTTGACAATCACCCAGAAATCTTGCAGATGGATGTTCATTTTATCCTGGTTTTCTTCCTGCCAGGTAGATCTCCTGTTGTGGACACCCCATGGCACCCCCTACCACAGGGTCATGCACCTCGGCCGGGCTGGCGTCCAGCAGCCACGTCTTCACTGTACACCAGGAGAGATGACTGGAGCTACCATGGGGCTTCTAGGAATCACGGAATAGTTTGGCTTGGAAGAGATATTCAAAGGCCATCTAGTCCAACCCCCTTGCAATGAGCAGGGACATCTGTAACTAGATCAGGTTGCTCAGAGCCCCATCCAACCTGACCTTGAATGTTTCTGGGGATGGGGCATCTACCACCTCTCTGAGCAACCTGTGCCAGGGTTTCCCTACCCTCATTGCAAAGAACTTCTTCCTTCTATCTAGTCTAAATCTCATTTTTAAGTCCCCTTTAAGTACTGGAATGACAGATCCGACCAAACAACCCCAACTCCCTCAGCCTGTCCTCACAGGAGAGGTGCTCCAGCCTGCTGGACATTTCCATGGCCTCCTCTGGACCCGTTCCCACACATCCATGTCCTTCCCATGCTGAGGGCCCCAGAGCTGGACCCAGAGCTCCAGGTGGGGTCTCACCAGAGCAGAGCAGAGGGGCAGAACCACCTCCCTCCACCCTACTGGCCATGCTTCTTGTGACGTGGCCCAAGGCACAGCTGGCCTTTTGGGCTGGGAGGGCACGTTGCCAGCTCACATCCAGCTTTTCACCCACCAGAACCCCCAACTCCTCACCAGGGCTGCTCTCAGTCCCTTCAGCCCCAGCCTGAACCCACACCGGGCGTCGCCCCAGCCCTGCACCTGGCCTTGTTGAACCTGAGGCGGCTCATATGGTCCCGTTCACTCGAGCAAAGCCCGTCCCCTTGCTGGAGCACCCCAAAGCCAAGATAGACTCGCGCCCCGACAACACCCGCGGCCTGAGCAAGCGTCGACCTCAAAATGGCGCCGAGGGCCGGCAGGCGCTGAGGGGTCCCGGGAGGGGGCGTGGCTTCGGGTGAGAGGGGGCGTGGCCTCGGGGCGGGGGTGCGGCTGCTGCCAGCGTCGCCGGGGACCGCGCCCCGCCCCTCCCCGCCGTGACCTCAGCGCGCGCACCGGGCGCGCGGCCCTCACGTGACGCAGGTAACGGTCCCCCGCCCCGGCGCTCCCTCAGCGCGGCCTGTGCCCCGGGCGGCGGTGCTGGTGCCGCTGTCTACGGACGGGCCGGAGCCTCCCCGCCCCCGCAGGTCTGTCAGCGCCGGCGAAGGGCGGGGGACGGCGGTGCCTGGCGGATGGTTCCGGCCCGGCTTGGCGGGCTGTGGGCGGTGTGGCGGGGCCCGGCCCGGCCCATGTAGGCGTACCGGGCGGGCGGGGTGACCGTCCCCCCCGCCCAGGTCCACCGGGGCGGCTGGTGTTGCTTTGCCGTACGGTTCGTAGGGGGGTCGCGCCGCAGGCCTTGCCGGGCCGGTTCCCGAAGCGCGGCCTGCCGGTGGGGAGCCGCCGCTGGGGGTGAGGGGGAGCGGCGGGGCCCTCCCGGGCCGGGCTCCAGCGGTACCTCAGCGCCGCCGTGGCTGCGACCGCCCTGACATCCTCACTGCCTCCGGCCAAGGTGACCGGGACACCGGTGCAGCAAGGTGTTGCCAGGTGGCCGTGGGAGGACGTGTCCTTGCGTTGCGGGCAGGGGCAGAACGATAAAACCGACCCCTTCCAGATATCCCCCCGTGCTCCCTCACAGCGTGTGGGCAGCCGAGGGTCTGTGGTGATGTTACCCCTTTGGGACCCACTAAAGGCGGGTTTTTTTCAGGGGAGAGTGGTATATTGGGTACTTCAATGGCACAGAGATGCCGCCGTCACCCCAGACCTTGCGGGTGTGTTGTGTGGGGAATGCACAGCTCGTGTGTTTCCTCCAGGTCAATTTAGTGGATAGAGGATTATGCTGCTTTATACAGTGTGGTACATCTGTGCTGGAAGGAAAAGAAACATTTGTCACGTGGAGGAATGTATTCCTCAAGTAGCCTTATTGGATAAGGATATTCTATGCCTCTCTGGTTTCAATTATGTATGACAGGCTTTTGATACTTTATTATCCTTATCCTTTTTTTTTTTCCTGCTATCAGCCCTGTTTTCTTAGAATTATTCAATCTTAAGAAGAGCTTTAGTTGCGTGGGTAGTATAGGAGAAAATGACCATGATAGTGGATGAAGAAGTATTTTTGTGACATACGGACCAGACGTTTCAATGACTACTTCTACAGAGCACAAAGAACATTTGGCATTGGTAGCAAGACTTCATGTATGTGTTAAAAAGCTTGGAAAGGGTACTGGCAATACCAGGAGAATATCGTTTCATATGATACTGTGCAGTGTATTTATGTTTAAAGTGATCTTGAAAAAGTCTAGATAAACACTTAGCTATCAGAAGTGTCTTGCTGTCTCTTTTTCATGTGCTTTTATTACCCTCTAGATACCTGTGTAGAACAATTCAGAAGACTCTCCATGACATTAGGTCACTTCTAGAGTTGAAAGTGCCAAGGTGAAAGCTAGCTCGTAGCTTGAGACACATATGCTGTACTGCAGAACAGCTGCAGAAATTTTCAACTGCTTAGGGCTTTCATTTACTTGCACCGTTTTAAGGGTGCTTTGGTACATTAAATATCAGGTTATTCTTTTGGTTCACTGCTTCTTTCTTATTTTTGACCTCCGGTAGAGAGTTAATTAATATCTTCCTTTAGGTTGCTCTTAGCTCGGCTTGATTCCTTGCCAATCACTGTTTTTATTTCAGGGTTGATTTAGGAAACATAGCGGAGTGGAACAATCCTAACTATTTCTGACTTCTGCCTGCTGTCCTGTGTGCTGATTTTTGACTGACAGTCTCAAGGCTGAGTGGGCTGGAATGGTCTATGATCATGCTGGTGGTCTCCGATTTGTTTAGCTGCTGACAGCTGACATCTGTGCTGAAGAGTGGTGTGTGCGAAAGGAAAAACTAGGAAGAAGTCAGTTTTGTTGAGTGAGATTAATCTGTAGTTGGAATCTGACTGGAATTACACAGTTGGTGGCTTTGTCCATTTTTATTTCATACCTGCATAAAAACAAAGTCATTATTTTTTTCATATTATGTCATTTACGCTCATTTTCAAATCTCCATGACAAATTGTTGTTATTTTGCTATGCATTCTTTGCTAACTGCTAGGGGAAAGATCTACACATTCTCCACATAGACATATTAGGGAAAAAGCATGTGAAATTGCCTGTATTTAAGAAGCTTGCCGCTGTAGTATGAAAAAGTGAGAAAAATGTTCTGCTCATTCCTTTTTCTTCCAGCTGTTTGCTATGCACTTTAAACGAGGGTGGGTAACCTTTTAGGTATACATGTCCACCCCTCAGGTATGTGTGCAGAAGTTTGTAGGAGAGGATGGGATTTGCAGGGAATAAGATGGGTGGAATAATCATTTCTATCAGAGCGGGCACAGACAAAGTCTTAAGTGCCATGGCGACCTCTCAGTTCTTCCTGTTGTGTTGAAATCTTACTAAGTTTTGCAAAATGATGTGATGTGTACATGGTGTTTTTTAGTGCTGTTGCGAAAATTATGTATGCAGACAATATATTATCTCTGTCAGTGTTGTCCCAGTTGTTCTGAGCTTCTGCAGGGCTTAATCTGCTTTCAAAATGGTGCTGACAGTATTTATGTTCCTACAGTAGCCTAGGAGCCCTAATCGTAGACCAGGTGTGGACACTGGAGGAAATCAGTGCTGTAATAAGCTTTGAATCTGTGAAATGGGAAATGACAAGTGGATATAGGTAGATAAGAAATAATGCTAATGTACAGGAGATTCAGCATACCATTAGCCTAATCATTGCTAATTTGCTGAAAATACCAAGTAAGGAGAGAAGAGTGTGTGGTTTTGAGGTTTTGGGGATTTCATAGGTTTAAA